AGACGCGAGACAAGACGAGACTCGGGGCTGCGAGACGAGACTCGAGACAAGACTTCATATTTCATCGGCGAGACGAGACGAGACTTCATGAAAGTCTCGTCTCGTTGGTCTCGTGTGAATCACTATTTGATAAGATCTATTCGTTTTTGTTTTATACGCAAAAAACAGATTTTGATCGTTTTCATGTCTCCTCCGTAACTTCTTTATTCATGCAAATATTCAAATAGGAATTTCACATTCTCATGGCAGTTTTTGGAAGTGATTTCGAAAAAAATATGAAATTTATACCAACTCTTCTAGAATTTGAGATATCAGCACCAACTTCAGTTTTTCAAATGTAGGTCATAGCTTACTATGACTTAGTTACAAATAACTTTTTTTCCTCTTTCAGATGATGTGTTGCAGTAATAGTTTTGTGTTGATAACAACGGAGTTATCGTCATTTATACAAAAACAAAAAATATTTGGAAGCCGCCATCTTGAATTCATAAATTTTGACAAGAAAATCATGATCTCCGACCTCAAAAACCCCCACTTACCAATTTTGAATGGAATCGGACCAAATCTTGTCCGCCATCTTGGAGCAGCCATTTTTTTTAATTTCAACAAAAATTCCATAATGTATTGTCACCGAAATCATGAACACCTGCCAAATTTCAAGTTAATCGGAGATTTTCGATCTATTTTGACTCCTAGTATTATTTTCCGGAAATTGGGGTAGTTTCATGGTTGTTGACGAGCAGTGTATATCACTGAAGATGACCCCACTGGGTCATAGAGTACAATTTTGGTATATCTCTCGCTCCAGCAAATTTCAGGATCCTTACCCAACGATTACGTAAGATACAGGGGTGGTTCCATTAGAAGTGGGTCACACTGTATAAATACGCGTTTTTTATAATTTTATTAGGTATACCTACCAATTCATACAATGATAGTTAAAAATCTTCCATCCATATTTCTTCTAATAAAATAATCATCATCATCATAAGACCGAAGAAAAATGCAAAATATGAGATACTTATTACCAGACAACCAACCTCCATATTTATAATACACGAACATTATAGGAATTTCCTTTCGTACGCTCCAACAGATGAAATATCTATTTCTATGGTTGATTCATAAACCACCCTACCTTTCCCTTTCATCCCTTGTGAGTGCGATGCTCGCATATCTGCACATGTTCCCCATATCGACGACCGTGCGGCAGTGTTGTCAGATTTTCAGAAAAAATATTCACACCTATATCGAAAAATGTTCACCAAATATGTAATGATTTCTCGACCAAAAACCAAATATTACAGTTTGAAATTTGTTAAGGATTATCTTTTTGCTATTTCACCACAAAATTGAGAATTATGAGATTTTTTCATGCAAGAAGGTAGTTAAATACCTATAGATTTGAACATAAAATGAAAAAACTTTAACAAAGAATGTATACTAAATACAAAAAGCTCAAAGCCATTTCCACACAATGTTCATAAAATGAACAACAATGGTACAGAACATTGAATTACATCCTTCCGAAATCTATGCATCGACTCTTTTAAACGAATACTGATACAAGTGATACTTTCCTGAATGCCTATTAATTTCGATTCAGCCAGGCCACGCTAGACACCTACAGACCGGTTTCGAGATCTTTGACTCTCATCAGTGCAGGGCAGTCTCCAGCCAGTAGTCCTATGACCGCCGACTAAGCGTGGCCTATAGCCAAACAAAATCAAGTTGGCATTATATTCCCTCAGAGGCGTCTTCCATCATAGACAAAATGAGAGCAACGCCATCTGAGTAGAAATCATGTGAATATTGGTTTGGAGTATTTCTTTCCCTCTTTTCACGCAAACTTTGCACAATCCCCAAAATTGTTTTAGAATTTGGAACGTGTCGAGCGAAAAACGAATAACCAGCAATTTCTTTGAATCTCAGTTGAAAATCGCAGCGATAATATTACAAAGCAGAAAAACTGAACAAGAGAATTGACAATGGAAACTTAGCCCGTGAATATCTTCGTAAACGTTTGAATTGTCCCTATATATATCCAACCCGGTATCGTTGAATTCGTCATAATAATCCCTAACCAATTATAGAATAAAAGACAGGGTGTCCCATTGAAAATCAAAAGTTAGGTTCGTTTCTGGTGAGACCGGAAGTGATTGAACAAAAATTGTTTTGTCAATTAATGAACAATTTGGTACCTATACTTGCTACCCACCAATTTTCTAAACCCGATTTAGAATGATTCAGAAGATACAACACTGGCCGTTTTTTGTGCACTTCTCTGTATATCAAACGTCAAATAATTATTCAACTAAAAGAGTGACTGATGCAATCAAACAAATCGTCGTTTCGCTGAATTTTCTGTGGATCCGGCACCACCGCCGCCGGTGCGGTATGGCCCTTCGGCCAGGTGTAAGGAGGGGTAGCAGGGCGCACATTCACCAGCCAGCCCCATCTGGAAAAAGAGGGTGGCCCTTCTGTGCCCTCGTTTCGGGCCGTAACGGTCTTTCCATCCAAAACACAGCTGGCGGCACGCGTGCCAATGCACTTTGCGATTGCTATCCTACCTATATATACATATATATATTACCATGGCTTGAACGACCACCAAAACAATTAACAATAATATTTATAATAGTTTATTCACAACAAGATATCAATATATGCTTGATATACACTTCATAACTTTCAAATTATATATTAATTGCAAGAAGGGGTTGAAGAATGTAATATGTTTACTATATACCTAATATGAAGGTATTTTCTTAATCGATTGTCAGCTGGCCTATAATACAACTGATGAGGCATGGCTAGCCGAAACAGTTTAAGGAATTGTTGATCTTAAATATTTTTCAAAGTGTTTTCAAAATTGTTCCAGATCTGTCATTCGGTTGCCCCCCTTACGAGCAACCCTCAGAGACTTGTGCGAACATGGAATGACGGGGGCCTTATACCTTTTAACGTGTAATCTCAAACACTCAATGAATGAATGAATAGTTATTCCTCTAGCGGTGGTCTTGCCTTGCATATGATTGTGTTGACAATTTACTTATGAAATATCCTTGATTTTATTACTCATATATTCTTCAGAATATATAGGTTTCTCAATTAACATTGATCCTATCCTATTCTTATGGTATTATCACAATGGCTGTTAGAATTTGAAATCAGTTAATAAAGTATATATAGGTATATAGAGTTAAATAGCCAAATAGCACGGATTTTATTATTATTATTCTGATATGATTTTTCAGAAGTATAGCCGATTGTACAGGTTTTATTTCATGATGGCAGCTCATTGAATGATTTGAAAAAGTAGGTATCTGAATGATCCTTGGAAAAAATGTGCATTGCTGATGCACAATGAACATGAATAATCTCCGCCCCTGAAACGAATCATTCAGTTTCTTTTTTTTTGTTCCTCAAGCATTTGTGTATTTCACTATAGTGTATAATATGCGTATTTACTTCCATAATTCAATCAAACATACCTATACTTACTTTATTCTTGTATCACCTATATAGGTATATAGCATTATGTCATGTCATTTCCATTTTTTGCATTACTCTTTATAATTTCTGGGATCCCTCTTTATAATCTATTCGTGAATGATTATTCACAATTTGATGGTTGAAAATCTCAATCTGATGAAGATTATAAGTTCCAACTCATCAGAATTGAAGAAGTATACACCTAGATTCTATAAGAAAATTCAAATTATTCAATTTACGATTAGGTAGGTATATATACACTGAAAAAAATGTATAATACTCTTTATCAAATATTACCACTATACAAAATAGTAGGTATATGATAGTTATACTATGATACAATTTTGTTGTGGTATACCTATACATATTATTTGATGAATGTAGCGACTATTTTACTAAACGTTTTGTATACCTATATATTTTCACTATACCGACTATTTCTGTGAGTGATAGCATTTCACTATCAAACACAGTATAAATAATTTCTGAATTTTATGTTTCCGATTACCTATATTGACGATCTCAATTACTTATATCAATTTGGACGCTATTATATATTATCAATTGAAAATAATTAGTCTCACTTTTGAGTTGAGAAGGATAATTATATATATAGTGCTACAAAATACTGATGATGGGATCAACTAATTGTGGTTTTTGAAAAAGCTCGCTAATTTTGATAAATTTAAAAAAAATGGAGGAAGCAGGACCCTCAATTATGAGTATAAGTATATGTAATCAAGTCAGAGATTTTCTAAACAATATACACAAAAAATAAACCTGGTTCAGACATCTACCCAAAATTTCCTTTTCAAAACTAGGTACTCATCATGTATGTATACCTACCTAATCGAATCTTGAAATTGGTATCACTTTTTTGTAAAATGACAAAAACTTGCTTTGAGTTTTAATAGGCACCTTTCGCTACATCGTTTCAGTATGGAGGTTTAATTTTATTTTATATTTAGAAAACTGAAAATATTTAAGAGAATTAATGACGAGAATTATTCAGAAAAATTATTCAATTATGAAATTGTTAACTTTATTCAATATCGAACAACTATCTCACATCAAACAAAGCCAGCCAAGCCAGCATCGAATATACAAACAGGTTAACTGTCCAACCACCCATCGAACTCCCCAGACTGCCAGCCAGAAACAAAACACTGGCCGACCAAATTACGCAACAACCAGCGCCGACTTGCAAAATCTCGTCTCGGCTCTCTCTCAAGCGCCTATTACGAAAAATCAACACGTAAAAAATCAGCTTGTCATTGAACATAAGCCACCTAACAATCAACTGTTTTTAGTTACCATAGCCTATTGAGACCTATTCGGGAGCACACCTGCTCGAGTCCCCTCTCTCGCGCAGAACGCGACTATTGGACCTCCGCGGGGAACTCGGCCCTGATTGGTCGGCCGGCACGTGCAACCTGAGTAGTGGGGAACACCTTAATAACTGGCTAGGCGCTTGTGGGACAGTCAGAGCTCGCTGAGACTTCTAACAGAGCGTTCGTGCCTTACCTTATCGTTTCTTGTGTGTTGATATACGACGAACTATTTTCTGTATTTTTCGTCAGTTGTTGTGTTTTACGTTGCGTACTTGCGTTTTTTTCTTCGAACTCTTGTGTCCTGTGTTGGATTACTGACTGTTTATTTTTGGTGACGACGTTGGATAATGCCTGTCACCGTCATGGCGAAAAACTACTCACACTGTCCTTTGAAGAAAAGGCCTATCGTCTTTGACGATATTCCTGGTAAGTTCAAGTTTCTCCTTTCATCTCCCACTAAATTGTACCAGTTCAAATTACACTAACAATCTCGCGCCATTTGAAAGAAATTAATATAAGTAATCTGTATATTTTTCAAATTTTTTTTTTCGATGATCTATTTGATACTTGCCATAGCTCATGAAGGAATACTCTTTTCAATTCAGAAAATAAATGGAACTGATTGCAATTCAAGTCTACCTGTGGGTATTCATTTTTGAAAATATCAATTTTTAATTATTTATTCATTGATTAAAATTTTTTTCGAAACCAGTCTAATATTTTGTGATTTTCACCATTGAATAAAATGTGATATTTAAGACTTTTGGAAACTCCATAACGAAAATTACTTGAATCATTTCGATAGTGAATAAATTTAAATTCCTGTAAAATTCCAAGGAACAATTAATATTTATAGCAAAGAATTCAGCAAAACAAAGTCTCCCACATATACTTTTTTCTACACCTCTCATAAAAAAGGATATAAATATAGAATGCGATAATAATACAAAATCAGAGTTTCCAGTCACATCCACACCAAAGGACTTGATGAAAATAGTCATCAGAAATGTACATATTTTAATTCCTTGACCAATTCCTATTTACGATGAACAGAGTATTCTCAAATGAGTTGATTTGAATAATTGCTCAAATTGCTGAATTTCGATTCGAGTATTCAAATTACATTAAAAGTCATAAAGAAGCCGTCATGAAACATCAAACTCCTCGCAAAACCATCATCATGATCTAATCCGACCAATCAACTCATGATTTCTTTTTCATTACAGACGAACCAGAAAACCTGTCAACGAAACCCGAAGACCTCAGCCGCAGCGGCCGCCTCGCCTCAATCTCACCCCCCTCTTCCCCCACCCTCTCCCCAACCCCCTCGCCATCCCCCCAATCCACCCTAACAGACTCGCCACCCTCCTCGCCTCCAATGTCCTCCCCATCACCCACCCACTTCATGTACCAACCCCCCATCAAAGTGGAACCGTCCCGCCTAGAGTACCCGGTACCCATCAGCCCGGAATACGCCCCCCAAACCTGGCACAGGAGCGTGGCACCCATGTACCACCCAGCCTACCATCCCTACATGCCCTACGGATACCCCCACGAAGGGATCTACATGGGCCCCAGCTCACCTTACAGCGACAGCTCGCTGTCACCTCCACATCAGATGCAGCAGCCTTTGCAGCCCTTGGCATTGAGGCCCACGGTGTACTCCTCCATGGACCACAGCTCTTTGAGCCCGAACAGCTCTACCACTTCGCCACCTCCTCAGACAGTGCCTTCGGCGGAAGATCTATCGGAGAAGAGGCGACAAGGAGTGAGGCACCAGTGTCCCGATTGCGGGAAAAGCTACTCCACCTTCTCGGGATTGTCCAAGCACAGGCAGTTCCACTGCGCTGCTGGAGAAGGTCCCAAGAAGTCCTTCAGCTGCAAGTACTGCGAGAAGATCTACGTCAGTTTGGGAGCGCTGAAGATGCACATCAGAACGCACACTTTGCCTTGCAAGTGCACCATTTGCGGCAAAGCTTTTTCGAGGCCTTGGCTGTTGCAAGGCCACATCCGGACCCATACTGGAGAGAAGCCTTTTTCTTGCACGTACTGCAACAGGGCTTTCGCGGATAGGTCGAATCTCAGGGCACATTTGCAGACGCATTCGGATGTGAAGAAGTACTCTTGTGCCACCTGCAGCAAAACCTTTTCGAGGATGTCTTTGCTCACCAAGCATACGGAAGGTGGCTGTACCATGTTGCACTTGGAGAAGATGTGCTAGTTGTTTGTTTTGTTGTGGTGACATTTTCTGCAGTATTTATCTCACAGTGCCTTTCCAAAATAAAGACTGATTCAAGGATCTTGTACAAAATGCTATTACTATTATTATAGTAGGTTGTAGATTCGTAAGAGACAGAGGTTAATATATTTTTTGTATATAGTTTTGTCATGGGTGGATAACGATCCAAGTTATTTTTCTAGTCAAAAGAAGCGTTGAAGCTTCTTTAATGTTACTTTGCCATTGTATAGTGCCTTAATTATAGTCTTATTGAAGCCTACATACAGATTTTATACTATTTAATAAACAGTTATTTATAATTCGAAGTTTTTTGTTTCATTCGTTCAAAAATGCATATACCACTAACAATACCAGTTCACTCAAGTTAATCGACACGATACATTAAAGAATTCGATTGTTCAGCACTTTTTTCTATAGAGTAGATATGGACCTTTCAGCGCTACATTTTGATAGTATTTCCATGTTGTTTCAAAATGTAGCGCTAATAAGTTCCTATGTATCCTACAGAAAAAACTTTTGAGCAATCGAATTCCTTATTGCCATAAAACCTCGCATAAAACTTCGTGCCGAATAATATGAATAATCCGTTATACAACTTCTAAGATGTACAAATATGGAACACATATTTGTACTACTATTTGAATAATTTTCACCAAATATAGGAATAAAAAGATCTGAAATGTTTAGTCAAAATTAAGGTTAGACTAAATTTCCTGGTTGATGCCTGAGGTTTTTGTATCATCTCAATTTCGAGTACAATTCAAAATCTTAACGAAAAATATAGGGTGTCACTTGAAATGAGAAATAAATGATTCCCAATTTTTTTCCTGGGTCAAGGTTCATACAAAATAAGTTAAATTGTAAAAATCGCATGAACCGTCTGAAATAAATGAAATATTCCATTGGAAATAGTTACTCAGGAATGGATCGTCTTGAGTAATACCTACGTTATCCAAGCCACATGCATGTATTCGCAATGAGAAATATAAAAATAAGTGATCGATTGCACTATTGACCTGCATATCGACCCGATTTAGGTCAAACAGACCCATCCTAAAATAGCTCGCGAATGAACCTGCAAATCTCGAAAACGATTCTCAAGTGCGATTCATCAACTTCAACCTGCCTACAGACGAAGTCGTAGTCGTAACCCACAACTTAAATGGCTCTATAAATTATTACCGCCGGTGCATGAGTCATCCTCATTAGGATTGGTGTGTTGTAATTGCATAATTCATCAGTAACGCGAATCAAATTTCTGCATTGCTAATTCGGACATTTTCTAATTGTCGATAGACAATGGCCGGCGTTGTTTTTTTGAATGCTCAATGTTTGTACAATGTTGGCCTTCTTAAACCATCTCAGTGTTATTCTAGGAACCAGATGCCAGGCCCCTCAATAATAATTGACTTACAAATCCCATTCAAGATTTTGAGGTAAGTATGCCTATATCTACTCCCATTAGTTTTCATTTGTTGATACAAAAGAAAGTATAAATATTTTATAATTGTATGGTTTTTTTTCCCAAAATGGAGTCTCGATACAACAAATTCAAGAAAATATAATTGAGGATGATATAACTTTTTAGATTTAGATCACTTGTAAAAAAAAAATTAAACAATTATCAGCCAACGTTTTGGCTAATATTTTTTGCCGCATGCTCATATGGATCTACAATAAAAAATCCGATTCTCTCATGACATAGGTATCTATAAATTACTGCAACAGAAATATGAATGCAGTCATGAAGTCGGAGAAGAACTGAACTCAACTGTGTGGATGGAAGAAAATGAGAAAATTGAACTTCAGAGAAAGCAAGTTTAATGATAGACAAAAAAAATTATACCTCACATTCATCAGAGTACTTATTGGTTGAAAATCAAATGACTCCAACAATTCAAATTAAAATATCACTCCTAAATGACTCAATCAATCCCAGTTCTTGGACACTTCTAACCATTAGTTCATCAAAACCCCATTCGATCACAACTCAGAATCAGAACTCACAACCGTATTTAACAAAGGAAATGCACGACGCACGAGTTTACAGACTGACTGGACCGAATTCTGATAACTATCACGAGATGTATGCGGAGTGTACCAATTTGCCGGAAATTATCTTGTTCGTTTGTACTCGACACAAATTCGTCAACGATCGTTATTCATTTCATCTATAAGAGTAATTCGATTACAAGTTACGGTAATATGATTACAATTCACTCGTCTGCGTTATTTATCATAGGTTCGGACATTATTGTCATTTCAAGAAGACCAATGGCGTTAATTGATATATACTCCCAAAAAAACGTCTCTATAGCTATGGAGAATATGATTAACATGGAGAATATGATTGAAAATTGAATAACAGTCATCAGCTCAGAGTGCCCATTCCTCAGTGCCTCAGTATTATATAGCTAAATTGATGTAATGAATATAGTAGGTACTGCCGTCGTGATGATTGTCAATCCACAGTGTTTTTCATCATACTCTTCAACAATCAACTCATCAGGTATATACACCCATACATTTTGTGAAAGCTATGCAGTTTTCTTCATTACTATAATTGGATATATTTTAACTATGAGCTGAACTCAAAATTCAATCCAAATCACCTAAGTATAGATAAAATGTGCAGCATTACTTTTGGGTTGAAAATTTAAAAAAAAAACAATGATCTAATCGCTATGAAGAAAGAGATATTTACGTAAAAGGAATTGGAGAATCGAAAAATTGTGATAACATTGCAATTCCGCCAGTGGCGTAGAATTTGAGAAATATCAACCAGTAACTTGACCCTGTCGTACGCCTCTGGAATTTGTAGTAGCCAGAAACATTTATTTAACATAATTTAGTGACAATAATACGTCAAACGGTTTGGTAGCACAAATAATTCTTGTATTAAAAAAAACACCCTGTAAGTCTTACAAAAGAGACATATTTTGTCTTATTATTAAGTTATTTGTGTGAAATCTTCCTATTTTGAACTCATGCATATTCCCAATTATTAGTAATGAAATACCCTGAATGATTCTTGAACTATATTGAAAACTATACCAGAAGCTCTACTACTGAATATAAGTAATACAAAAAGAAACGCCTTGTATGGAAATTTAAACAAAATTATGTTTCATATAATTCTTGACACATTGCTAATATCAGTTTATATTATTTTTTATCAGTCGCTGGAAAAAATCCTGATGTTACTCAATGATTTTTCATTCTATTGTAATACATGCTTACAAAAACAAAATTTGAAATCGGTCTACGAATTAGCTGGCTCAAGGTGAGACATACATCTCTCTTGAGAGCAAAAAATTCAGCGCTTTGAATTCAAGAAGACAAATCTAAGATTCCACGATTCATCCGGAGAAAAAAAATCACAACTAGAAATATTGATCACACGAAAAAATATTTGGTAATCGAGTTTTTGGCGAAGGTGCCAGCACCACTCGCCATTGCCCAATTATTTCAAGAACCAAAATACTCTCATCTATCATTATACTCTCTAGTAGAAAATGGCACGTCATTTCTCTATCGAAAGTAATGACGTGACTTTCCAATGAAGTATAACAAAGCGAGCACTGTCCGCAATTCGTCCAAAAATTTTTATTTGGCGCAATCGTGCACAAGCCAACAACAATGAATTAAATGCTAAAGCTGCAATCGTTCAACTTTTATATAATATACGAACAAATTAGTTGTAAAATGTCAGCTAATAGCAACAATGGGAAATATTCATTAACAATAAAGTCTGTGCCACACACAAGCTCACGATTCTGCGTTTAATATAAAAGGCAGCGTACGAAAAATGGCTAAATTATAAGTTTGCGCTGTTAAATGTTGGGATTTTCTCGTTTGGGCTCTGTCGGTACACTTGATTTTGTAATAGATAGTAGATCGTTATGGTTCTCTGTTTGTTCAATATTGCTAATTATAAGTTGGAAGCGATGGAATTTATGACCATTAGGCGTTAAATGCAGTTAATAGATTGTTTCAGAACAGCACATTTCGCACCATTACTCATTGCGGCCAACAGGGAAGATAATAATGTTTTTATTTAGCTTATAACATGGGAAATTTGAAGAACATAGTACTAAATAGATAAGTACCTTCTGGGTGTACAATATCAAGGTATATCTATAGTAATAGGTATAGTAATTTTGGAACCAACATTTTTCCTACTACTTATCAATGATCAATTGGGAGCATGTTGGGAGCAACCACTTGTTATTGTCCTATCCACAGATGTTGCTGAAATTACAGTCTGGAGAAGCAACACCCTGTAGTTGACTTCAACGTTACCAAAAATCAAGCTTGTATATTTTCACTATATACAGTTCTCAATACACTAAATGGACCACCCATAATTTGACTCTAGTTCGAAGACCTGCATTTTTTGATAAAATTGACCGATCTTCATGCGGTTTTCGATATCAGATGTGATATTTCATCGGCTTCAAAGAGAGCTAGAACATCTGAAAAAGTATGCAGAACAGAACTTACACAGGGTGTAAAGTGGAACCATTACACTATGGTCTACATTTCCAATGTTGCCAGAACTCGAGAAATTTTTTTCTGATCAAAAGTCAGTCATATTATGATACACTGGGACCTCGTCTCGGGACGTTTTCGTGATTTCTTCTTAATTGGATTGGAACAAAAATTCGATTTTTTTTTCGAAAGTCTTGCATTTCTTGAACTTTTTCTCTAGAACTTCACTTGAGCTGACTATTGGGAAGAACTATTCTCATGTTTTGTGGAGGACAATAAAAGACGAAAAAAGCACTTTTTTGGAATATACAGGATGATAAGAAAATAGGACAAAATCTCATTTCAGTAAAAAAAAATCAAAAATGGTGACTAAAACTATATGGCCCATTCGATCCAGTATATTCAGAAACGGCCTTCTCGATATCCATTATTTATATTAGACTATTAACTCGAGACGTTTTCGAAAATTCGACTCGAATTGAAATACAGGATGAAAATTTTCAATTCAAACTTGTTTCCTGATATCGATGATTCTTATCAGCTGATTTCCAATATTTATTGCCGAAGTATGAGACACAGAGTATTGTTGTTCAATATACTGCGTGTTCTACAACTTATCTGACAAATTTCAACCACAACTACGATATTACATAAGAAGTCTATCACAAAATTTTTTTTATAGAAGAAAAACGAGATGGAAAATAAAATTTGTAACACTTTATATCCACTAAAACTATTCGAAAAGGGCTCTATTGGCGAAATATGACATTATTGAATTCTTCAGCATTATGAACTAGAAAGTCTTATAATATCC